CTCCTTGGTCCAAACCCCAGATGCAGGATAGCTGCTGTTATGGTCCATCCTCAACCCTACCCCAGTCAGACAGTGTTGTAATTTAAGAAAAGCAGCACACACGAGAGAGAGACGCCATGTTCAAGCAGAAGGGTTTTTAATTAGGGAAAGGGATCATAAAAAGGGGAAAGGGTTAGAGGGATACCAGCCTCCGGGGATAGGAGCAGCAGGACAGAGGAGAGAGGGGCAGAGTGGAAGAGGGGCAGAGGGGTAGAGGGAGAAAGAGAGAGAGACAGATGGAGAGAGGGGGGAGAGAGAGGGAGAGAGGAGGAGGATAGGAGGTGAGCAGGGCCCTTTTAAAAGTGAATATGCACTTAGAGGCAGAAGCTGAGGGTGTATCCTGTTAGAACCCCAAGGACAGGACAGGCCCATGCCTGAATACTAATAGGCAGCACTACACCAAATACACACACACACACACACACACACACACACACACACGGTTTATATGGATATCTGTGTACCACATGTGTGCACCATCTGTGAGTCCAGAAGAAGGCATCAGAAATGGAGTTACAGACCCTTGTGAGCCTCCATCTGGGTGCGGGCAATTGAACTCAAGTTCTCTGGAGGAGCAGCCAGAGTTTTTACCTCCTGTGCTTGTCTCCAGCCCCTGACTACATCAATTGCAATATGTTCTCAGGACCCAGCTCATTTGAGTCCTTGTAACATGCAGCTATGTTGGTGTTACTCTTCCCTTGCATGGGAGAAAAGAACCAAGGCCTTGAGAGGCTCAGCCACCTCTGCATCTCACAGGTACGGAGTGGCTCAGGCTGGGGCTCTGGTCTTGTTTCACTTAGATTTAGTTCCTTTGCCAGTCTCAGCCTGGGACAGGCCCTGCAGAGTTAGGGTGTGCCTTGGACTAATTCACTGTTCCTCAGTTTCTTGATCTCTTGAATAGGGACAAACTACCCAGAAAGACTGGAAGACAATGAGCGTTTCCTGGCCTTCCCTGTTAGCTCCTACCATGCTTACACACAGCAGGCACTCACTAGGTGCTGACTGTGTCTTTTAGTTGGCACTAATCCCAGCCCAGCACTTCTAGCATCCAAGTGGCCTGATGAGTTAGGCAAGGGTGGATTAAGGAACTCATGAGGATCACTCAATAATCAGCTAAACCGCTTAAGCTGCCTGGGAAACAGCTGAGATCAACCTGCTCATTAATTTATTGAGCAGTGACTGCTGAGCCCTTAGCTGAGCTGGAAGGGTGACATCCACGATGATAGCACTGCCAGTGAGGTATGTAGAGCCTAACTGTGAGCAGACGTTTGTTATGACCCTGGTGTTTGTCGGGGGACACTGCGATGTGCCACTCAAAGACCCCTTCCATAAAATCATTGCCCTAAGTGGCAGGCTTTTCCTAAACTCCTTCTGGCATGGGGCTTATCTATAGAGGCGTGTCCTACCCAGGGCCATGCCAATTCCAGGCACCCTATATTCCACGATTGATGACAGAAGCATAAAGGAGTGCCGTGGTCTAGCCTGGGTCAACTTTGAAGGGCCCTTCTAGCTTCAGAGCTCTGCCGGGGACTGGCTGGGTCTGCTGTGTAACTTCTGCCCTGTTGGGCTTCCCCCCCTTCTTTGTGTAGTACAGATCTCTTGACAAACAGAACACCTTAGAGTCTGCTTCGTGGGGGGCCCAACCTACAACAGTCTCACTGTAGTGGGATATTCACTTTGTCTCCATCTGTGGCACTGACCATGCCCATTGGGGGGTGGAGACAAGGGCGGAAGTGACCTGTGGAAGGAGGTCTGAGGAGGAGCCAGGAACGCTCTCTTGCTGGCATGACGGAGAGGAGAACATCCGGTGGAACTTGCTGGTGTTTATCTGTCTAGGTTGTAAGTTATTTCTCCCTGAATAAACATATGTTCGGCCTATTTGTTTATCCTGATCCTTTTCTAGGTAGCTAAAACAGCCTCTATCAAGGCTCTAGGATAAAGGCGTCACCCAAAGCCAGGATTCAAGGATAAGAGCATTAAGAACAAACTCTATCATCCTAAACACTTCCTCTACTTTAACTTTGCGTGCGTGCGTGCGTGCGTGCGTGTGTGTGTGTGTGTGTGTGTGTGTGTGTGTGTGTACCTGCCATGTGTGAGGTCACCTGCAGGGGGCAGGAGGGAGTGTTGGAGCCTCTGAAGCTGGAGTTAGGTTGTTGTGAGCCTCCCGATGTGCATGCTGGGAACTCTGGTCCTCAGGAAAGAAACAAGCATTCTTAACCACTGAGCAATCTTTCCAGTTCTTGTTTTGTTTTTTGAGAAAGGGTTTCATGTATTCCAGGCTGGCCTTAACCTCAATATGTAGCCAGCATGACCTTGAACTCCTGATCTCTCTGTGTCCATCTCCCAAGTGCTGGGGTTACAGAAGTGTACCACCTTCAAAACTTGCACCAACCTCTATAACAGCTCTATGGTGGTCGTGCTATTAATTAGGACCCCATTTACAGAGAGGTTCTATTTGTAGAAAACCACAAGGCATTGATAAGAAATGATAAATAAAAATAAGGAGCCAGGTGTTGGCAGTACACCCAGCACTCTGGAGACAGAAGCAGGCAGATCTTTGTGAATTTGAATCCAGCCTGGTCTACAGAGTGAGTTCCAGGACAGGCTCCAAAATAGAGAAACCCTGTCTCAAAAAAAAAAAAAAAAAAGAGTAAAAGAATGTTGATATGGGGAAATGGGAAAAGGCAACAATGATGATTATGAAGAAGACAAGGAAGAGAAGGAGGAAGAGGAGGAGGAGGAACTATCTGGGCCAAGCCTGAGCTGCCAGACTTTAGGAAGACTAAATTTAAACACCGGACCCAAGTAGGGAAGCAAGATACTCAGGACCAAAGGACAACAGTTTGCTTTAAGGGGTTGGCTCCCAGGAAGAGGTGACAGACATCACAGAAAGCTGTGTACTTATACAAAAATTAATACTCAAAGGGTGAGGGGACTTTGTTTGAGGCCAGGAGGCTCCTGGGACTCTTCTTGAACTGATTATATGGCAATGAGACTTCAAATCCATTGCTTCTTCTCCTTCAGCTCCCAGGGCCAGGAGAAGGACCTGGTGAGCGGTCCTAGTCTTACCGTCTTTTGTCCATCTGTCTGCTAACCAGCTTGTCAGTGGTCCCTCTTGGGAGGAAAGCTGGCATTTTTGTTGTTGTTGTTTGTTTTTGTTTTGGTCCTGGGAATTAAACCCAGGACTTTCTACATGCTAGACAGGCACCCTACCATAAAACTGTATCTAGTGTTCCCCCACACCCTGCTTTTTTCCTTTTGATACAGGGATCTTACTAGGTAGCCCAGGCTAGCCTTGAACTCACTCTATAGTGCAGGCTGACTTCAAAGGCAGCCTTCTCTGTGCTGGATTACAGATGTGAGCCACCATGTAGAATTTGCTCTGGTGTCATTGTATTCCCTTCTCCTTGGGAGGGACTGAGAGTTTACCAACTGCTTATTAACTCGTTCCTGAACTGTTCCCCACTTACAGAGAGGGTTGTTGCCTTGTAAAGTAGCAGGGTAAGATTTTTTAGCCTCTTTTTACTGGTGGAAAAGCCAAGGCCTAGGGAAAAGGCAATCAAGGAAGTGTCCAGCCCAGAGTCAAACCTTCCTGTCCCAATTGGATTCCTTGGTTTCTGTCTTGGTCCATCGTCCTAGGCAATGCTAGAACAAACACAAACCACCCTGAGCACAAAGGTCAAGCCAGTCCCTGGCCAGAAGAATCTCTTCCTTTTTCTTTCCATGTGTCCCAGAAGGCCCTGGGATCTAAGAGCAGACCTTTATTCGTCTGCCAAACACTTCCTGTCACCCACTCTTTGCTCATGTTGCTGGCTTCAGAGCTGCTGCCCACACAATGTACCCTGGGATAACTCACAGCTGCTGAAGTCACATGTACAAGCACTTGGCACTAGAGTAAAGGCCCGCCACTTGGAGACAGAAGGGCTCAGTGGTATTGCTCTCTGGTCTCTGGAATTGACTGTCTCCTAGAGAATGCCCCAGTATCTGGCCCTAGCACTGTGGGACTCATGCCTGAGCAGATCTCTTCCTCCTGGCTTTCAGCCTCATTTCCATCCTCTCTCCCACACAACGGGGCATCTTTTCAGAGTCAACAGCAGAGGGTGCACTGGAGGTCTGGACTGGAAGGTCCAATCTTGCCAGGCTTGGGCCAACACCACACCCCTTGCCTGTGGAATGAGGAGTGAGCTGGTCACATAAAGTTGTCAGGAAACCATTAGCTCTTCCTGTCTGTTCTAGATGCTCCTCGCCTTTCCCATAGATCCCATGATCTAGTATGTGGCCCTCCCTTTAATCAAGGTCTTTTCCTGTTCCTTAAACCATTTGTCATTCCACAGTGTTCATCACATCAGATGTCACCTCCTCCCTGAAGCTGGAACAAACCTCCACCCCAACCAGTTGAACATCTCCCATCTGCTTTCTGGACAACTCTTCCATGTCCCAAGAATGTGCACCGATTTTCAGAAAAGCCATCTCTACAGTTTACTGAGTTGACTAACAGTGTGACCGTGTGCGGCTATACTTGTCACATGGATGAAGTGTGTGAGAGGCTCTGGGTTCCATCCCCACCCCCACCCCACCCCACCCCCACGATGGTATCACAACCAAGAACAAGACCACCCCCTCCAAGGAACCCGGAAGGGACAGTGTTGTGGACAAGTGAGAGAGTCTCTGTCCAAAGCTAGGGCTGCCAGGATTTTCAGGTGCCCCCCTCCAGTTCCTGGAGTGGTAGCCGCTGGAAGTCCAATGGGTTAAACTGTCAACTGGCCTGGGCCTCTCAGGTTATGATATGACAATTGCACAACTTCTCAAGACATTTTTAAAAGAAACTGCCAGGCTTCCTGTCCTTTGGGCTGCTGGGACTCATGGCCTCCACCCCACTTTGGGTCTCAAACAGCCTTGGGCTTTTTTGCAAGTTACTCGTACTTGAGAGTAGGGATGAAAAGGAAATGGAAACTCAAAACTGTAAAGCAACCCAGTTTTATTTTGGTTTTAGAGGCTACTGGCCCACTCTGCAGGGGTCAGGTATAAAACCTCCCCTCACCTGGGCCAAAGGCCCAGGGAAGGTGGGGGTTCAGAGAGATGGCTCCGGAGACCCAATCCGGTTAGTGGGCAGCACGAGAAGGTCAGGCAGAGGCCTGCAATGGCTCAGATTGGGGGGAGGGGCGGGGAAAGTGGGCACAGACTTCAAGAACGTGGAATCCAAAGGCTGGTTCAGTCCCCTCCTTTTGTCTTCTGAGGCTTGGGTGAGAGAAGCAAGACCCAATTGTCATCTGGCAGGAGGTAGGGCCTGGAGGCAAGGCAGGCGTCCCCAGTCGGAGCCGTCTGGGCGAGTAAACACGGCGCCTCCACCCTCACGGAGGGTGCGTGTGGGCCGGGCCACCGCTCGCAGAGTCCCTCGTCTCTGGGCGGTCGCGCTCAGCAGCTCACCGAGCCGGCGGGTGTCGCCGACCCCAGGTCCGAGAAGCAGTCGAACTCGCTCTGGCCCAGGAAGAGCTCGGGCAGCTCGCGCACACGGTGCAGCCCGAGCTCGAGCTCCAGCGACTTCAGCGCCTCCTCGTCTATGAGCTCTGCGTCCATGCAGCCCAGGGAGGGCGGCGGCGGCAGGGGGGACGCGGCTCCGGGCGCGGGCTGTAGAGGTGAGGGGCCTCCGGCGGTTCCCGGGGTCGCGGGAATGCGGCCCGGGGATGGCGTGGAGGGGGGCTGCAGGTGCGCGCTACCGGCACCCGGTGGCTGCGTGACGGGGAAGGGCTGGAAGGAGGCCGGCGATCCGAAGGAGCCGTATGCCAGGGTCCCGGGTGGTGGCGATGGTCCCAGCGGAGCTCCCCGCGGCCGCAGACCGCTGTCCAGGCCGGGGCTTGCGTATGGCTGGAGAGTCCGCGGAGCGTGCGGGCCGTGGGCGTGCGGCGGCACCTGCAGCAGGCAGTAGCCCTCGGTGAGCATCAGGTGGTCGGCCATGGCAGCGGGCGGACGGTCAGCGCGCGCCCCGGGTCCCAACCAGCGGCTCCTCTTGGACTGGAGACCGGGACACCGTGCTGTCCCTGCAACTTAGCCAGGCAAAGGAAGACCGAATCGGATTCGTCCACTGTCTCACCTGGGTCTTCCGGATCTCCTTTCTCCTCCACTGTCCTACGGCCGCGCCTGCAGGCCGCAAGAAAATGAGACACTCTAGGGTCGAGCTCCGCAGACGTGCGCACGGCGCCACGGAACCCGGAGACTTCTTATACCAAGAGGCGGGATCACTACGCCCTCTGTCTGTCATTGGCTGGATGAATCCCTTCTGGGCGGGGCACGCGGCCCTCCAACAACTCCTCGGCCCCGCCCCTACCAGAGCCCCTCCCTTTGAGCCCCCAGCGGCGTCCCAGGTTGCCAGTGCTTTGAAGGGGCGGAGTGGTTGACATTTCTCTGGTGCTGTCAGGCCTTCGAGGCTCTGGCTAGCGGGGAATGGGGGGAGGGGGAGAAGGTAGCTTGAATTTGCCAGAAGATGAAGTAGGAAGACCAGTTCCAGGAGCTGCAGGATCTTGAGGTCCATTCAACTTAATTCTCCAGACCAATGCTTACACTGAAGATTTCCTGGAAACACACAGTAAAGCCTTCAGGGTTCAAACCCAGGCCTTTGTATGGCACTCCAGCGAAGCAGGGTCGTTTGGAGAGGTCAGCTCTCTGTCCCTACAATCCCCAGGGAGCCAGTTACTCCTTCTCTGGCTCTCACTGTGCTCTGTCTGTTGAAGCATGTCCCGAGTTGTTATTAAAGTAATTTATGGGCATGTCTCCTGAAGGACTCGTTCATCTCCTTACTCTCAGCACTTGGCCCACAGCCTGGTCCAGGCTGGCTTTCTGTAAAATGGAATGAATGAGCAAATGATGGCGTGAATTGCAGCTCATTCACCACTCTGTGGCTTCTTCCTTTCTAGGAGGCTGGCAAGAGCAGCAGAGACCACACGCGCTTATGGTGAGGGTTAGCGGAGGATGTTTGTGCGGAAGAGAGCCCTCCTTAATGCCTGGCACATACATATGCAAATATTCATCAACTGGATATGAGGTTGGTTCTGATGATTTTCCAAAGGGCGATTTTCACACCTTCTTTGGATAACAATAACCCTAATTTGACCTTTTAGAGGGCTTTACATTCTACAAGCATTTTCCTGGAAGTAGAGTATAAATTTCTAGCACTGTCTAGCAGATAAGACGACTAAGGAACCCAAAAGTGGCTGTGCAGGGGTCCTGTGCAAAAAATTAATTAATTAATTAATTAATTAATTAATTAATTAATTAAAAGTTTCCTACATACTCCAAACTTCACAGGCAGGCCAGGAGACAGGTTTCTTGAATCTTGACTACCACATGCTGGTTTTTCCCTCTCCTGGCTCCCCTCCCCTGCAGCTGCCTCTGGACTTCCTGGAACTTTGGTTTATCTAGCTGGTGTAGAGGGGAGAAGCTTAGCTGGGGTGTTCAGAGGGGCCCAAGTTCTAATCATAGCTCTGGCACCTGCAGGCATGTGACCCTTGGCTGATGGGTGGGGGTGGGAACAACACTGGATTCCACAGGGCCTCTGCTTTCTGCATGTGGGAAGGTCAAATCTTCCCCCTTCCCCAGCCTAGTGTAGTGAAAGCCCTGGGCTATCTTTTCTCTCTGAATAAAGCTCCACACAGAGATTCCTAACCCTGACTGGACCTCTGTCTCATCTGGAGGTGTGCGTGGTTGGAGCCCTGGCCTTCTGACTCCGACACTGAGAGTTCATTTGTTTGTTATTTATTTATTTTAGGCGGGGCCTTGCTATGGAACCCAAGGCAGCACATTTGACAGCAGCAAGCAGGACTGTTAGGACCCAGCAACCACCCAGGGCCTTGGCCCTGCTCTTGTGCTTGTGCCTGCCTCGTGCTTGGGCTGTGGGTGGTTTTGAATCATGAGACCATGTTTTAAAACAATCACCCTGACATAGCTGGTCTAAGGACCCTAGTGTTTGCATCACAAGACAGTTTCCCTTTTAAATAAATGTGTGTGAATAATGCTTTAAAGAGTTCTTTAATCTGGGGCTGAAGAAATGGCTCAGCACTTAAGAGAGCTTGCAGTTCTTCCAGAGACCTAAGTTCGAGTCCCACTGTCCACATTGGGTAGCTCACAACCAATTCCAGATCCAGATGGTTCGATACCCTCTTTTCACTTTTGTGGGTACCCACAGACAACACACAAACACACACACACACACATACACACTTCAAATAAGTCTTCTTTAAAGTTCTTAATTTGGTAAACTAATACCAAATGGTTACCCTACATCAGACATTAATCAATTTGTGACTTTCAAACTTTCAAGGTCATGAAAATTTCTGAGAATCTAATGGAAGCTGCAGACATTGTGGCCACAATATAACTGAACATATATTTGGTGCATTAAGTGATGGAGTTGGGGGATAATACTCATTAGGGTGACTGGGGAATTCTAGCAGTAAAGTGCTTGCTATGCAAACTTGGAGGCTTGAGTTTGGATTCCCAGCACCCACATAAAAACCAGAGAGTGGTGGCATGTGCTTGTAAGTGTGGTACAATGGAGGTGGGATGAGGAGGACCTTGGAGCTTGCTGGCCTGCCAGGTTCAGGGGAGACCTTGTCTTACAAACCAATGTGGGCCAGTGAGACAGCTCAGCAGATAAAGGTGTCTGGGACCAAGCCTGACAAACTGAGTTCAGTTCCTGGGAATCATGGGATAGAAGGAGAGAATCAGCTTCCAAAAGTTGTTGTTTGACTTCTACCTAAACACCATGGCATATATACACATGCATACACACACAGAAGTAAATAAATCGATATAAAAATAAGCTGGAGAATGTTGGGAGGAGACACCAGAAAACCTCTGGCTTCTGCATGTGTTGTATGCACATGAGCACACACTTAAACAAAGATGCACATATGCAAGACATCCATGCACTTAGCTACTTGGAGACATACAGTAAACAACAAAATAAGTAAAATTTTATGCTAAGAAGTGATAGGATGGGAATAGAGAGAATATAAGGGGAAACAGGAGTGCAGGAGAGGTGCAGGCAGGTTGCAGATTCTATGTGGAAGTCAGCAGGAGTGAGGCTAAGCCTCACTGAGACTTCGAAGTTGGGACAGAGGTTAGAAGAAGAGTCAGGAGCATTCATGGCTGCAATCCTGTCACACAGAAGCTGAGAATGGTTGCTGAGTGTTCAAGGTCAGCATGGGCTATAATGTAAGAAAGACCTTGTCTCAACAAAACTAAAGAAGAGGAAATGAAGAAAAGAAAAGGTAAGAGGAAGACCATTAGCCAAGTGGTTTCTAGGGGAGGAGCTACCCAACAGCCATGGTGATGTCATTTCCAGCAAGTTATAGATTTTAGAGCATTTTGGAGTTGTGTGTGTGTGTGTGTGTGTGTGTGTGTGTAGGTCAGAGGTCCATGTTTAGTGTCTTCTTCAGTTTGCTCAGGGTTTCCCACTGAACCTGGAGCTCTCTGATTGTACTAGACTGGCTGGTCAATAAGCCCCAGGGAGCCCCTCCCTGCCCAGTCTCTCTCCTCCCAGCACTGGGATTATAGGCTTGTACCATTACCTTCAGCATTTTTTTCTGGTGTTGAGGATCTGAAGTCTCGGGTTACCATGTTTGCTTGTATGTATACATGCCTGGTGCTCTTGGAAGTCAGAAAAGGGCTTCAGATGCCCTAGATCTGGAGTTAAAGATGGTTATGAAACACCACATGGGTGCTGAGAATTGTGAGGTCCTCTGCAAGAACAACAACTTCTCTTAACCACTGAGCCATTTCTACAGCCCCAACTTTTAAAATTTGAAGTTAATTATGCTCAAGTCTGTGCAAATATTTTAAAATCCAATAAGCTCACAAATACGGAGCAATTCTGATCCCAAGCATGTTATATAGGCAACAGGTGCTACCGTTTCCATTCCACAGAGGAGGAGAAAGAGAATCAAGCATCTGACATCACTCAGCTACTGATGGAGGAGGGAGTGTGGTGCCCCTATCCCCAACACACTGCCTCCGGGGGGGAGGGGGAGGGGGCACTCTCTTTCCCTTTGTTGCCAGCATGCCTGAAGGTCTGGGTCCACTGTTTTGGTGGCTTACTGTCTTAGTTAGGGTTTCTATTGCTGTGAAGAGACACTATGACCTTGACAACTCTTAAAAGGAAACACTTAATTGGGGCGGTCTTACAGTTCAGAGGTTTAGTCCATTGTTGTGGTGGCAATTTGAATGTAGTTGGCTGTAGTGGGATATTCACTTTGTCTCCTTTTGTGGCACTGACCACGCCCATTGGGGGGTGGAGCCAGAGGCGGAAGTGACCAGTGGAACTGGGGGGGGGGGGAGAGAAAGCTCTCTTGCTGGCAGCACGGGGACAGGAGGACTTCTGGAGGCATCCTTGGGAGCAGGAACCTGCTGGTGTGCACCTGTCTATGTTGTGAGTTATTTCTCCCTGAATAAACATCTTTTCGGCCTAATTGTTTCTCCTGATCCTTATTAAACCACAATAGTTGTCCCCAAAAGCTTGTAGGGAATGGCACTATTTAAAGGTGTGGCTTTGCTGGAATAGGTATGCCTTGTTGAGGAAGTGTGTCACTGTGTATGGGGAGGTGTTTTGAGGTCTCATATCCTCAAGATACATCCAGTGTCTCAGTTCACTTCCTGTTGCCTATGCAAGATGTAGAACTCTCAGCTACCTTAACAGGACCATGTCTGCCTGCATGCCACCATGTACCATCATGATGATAATGGACTGAACCTGTGCACTGATTATTGTTGTTGCTGTTGTTATTATTATTATTATTATTATTATTATTATTATTATTATTATTTTGGTTTTTTGAGATTGGGTTTCTCTGTGTAGCCTCTGGCTGTCCTGTAGACCAGGCTGTCCCTTGAACTCACAAAGATCTACCTGCCTCTGCCTCCTGAGTGTTGGGATTAAAGGTATGCTGACATTTTATTTCTTAAAGCATTATATCTGAACACAGTACACAATTCCCTATTTATTGTTTAATTGTTTCTATCCCCACCACATAAAGGCAGGGTATTAGCTATTTCATTTAGACATCTAAAAGAGTGCCAGACATTTCATTAAATATGAACTATTACTAACATATGACCTTACCCTCAAAAATATCTGTGAAAAAAGAATCTATGTGTCTTTAAATGAATAAAATATAG